AAAAATTGGTTGAAAGGGGGGGGGGGGGAGGAGGGGAAATTAATGTAAAATATAATTTTTTTAAACAGGGTCTCTAAAAATGTGGTTTAAAAGATCGCTTATTTTGTTTTTAAAGATCGTTTAGTTGTTTGTTATTGATCGGTTAGTTTCTTCTTAAAGATCGGTGAGTTTGTTCATACAGATCGTTTAATTTGTTGTTCAAGATCGTTTAGTTTATTGTTAAAGATCGTTTAGTTTGTTGTTAAAGAAAGATCGCTTAGTTTTTTCATAAAGATCCCTTAGTTTGTTCTTAAAGATAATCAATTATGTTCCTTAAGATCGATTAGTTTCTTCTTAAAGATCTTTTAGTTTGTTCCTAAATTCCTAAAGAACATTTAGTTTTCTGTTAAAGATCGCTTAGTTTATTCTTATAAATCATTTAGTTTACTATTAAAGATCATTTGTTTTGTTCTTAAAGATCATTTAGTTCAGTCTTAAAATCGTTTAGTTTGTTCTGTAAGATCATTTAGTTTGTTACTAAAGATCGCTTAGATTGTTCTTAAAGATCGCTTAGTTTGTTTTAAAGATCGTTTTGTTTGTTCTCAAAGATCGCTTAATTTGCTCTTAAATGTCGCTTAGTTTGTTGTTAAATATAGCTTTCGCTGAGTACTAAATGACTAAAAACCAGAGTAACTTTCGGCCTGATGGCCGAAAGTCTAGGTCAAATTCGGCCGGAACCGAAGAAAAACCGAACGTTAACTATTCTCTTTCGGCCGAAACCGAAATTAAGCCGAAAGTTATCTTTTCAGGTTCGGCCGAAACCGAAACATGGCCGAAAGTGATAAAATGGCCACTTTCGGCGCCGAAACTGAAGCCGAAGCCGAAATTCGGTCGGTCTCTATGATAAATTAATTTTTATGATTCCGTAAAATATTTGTCTTACGGTGACGCTCATAAAAAAATACCTAGGGGGTGAATCCATTCGTTCTTTTATTCTTTTAATTTTTTTCGGTGTCACTGACAGGAAGCTAGAAAATTATTGAACTAATTTATTTTTTTAGCCAACCGAACTTATTTGGACCCAAAAATCCCTATTTACCCTCCAAGCTGGCTCAGGAATAACTTTAAAATAGTCAACTAACCATTTCCCGTTGAATGCTGGCCAATACAGCGTGTCGTCGACATCCCCCACCCACCACTTTTTTCTCTCAACAAATGTTGTTTTTTTTTTTAAATAACTTTAAAAATCACCGGACGGAAAGAAAAAATTGTATGTTCACCGGGAACGGAATTGACTTCCTCGATAGGCCTAACAATCAATTCGAATTTTAAAATCCTTATTTAATTTAGTATTTTTTTAAAAAATCAGGTTTTTAATTATAAATGTTAATTAATTGTTAAGTAAATATAATATTTAATACTTAGATTACGTATTGTGCGTCTTTACTCTACGTACTTTTAGTC